ACCACACACACCCACCACCACCCACACACACCCACCACACCCACCATCACCCTCCAGTGGTGAGAATGTGCCCTCCATTCTCTGCTCTTTCACTAAGGAAAGCACAGTCATTTCTGGGTACTTTCACAGAGAGACTCTCAGCCCTTACATGGTAGGTCACGAAAGTGAACAGTCCTTCTGCCTACCCTTTTGCCACGCGGTTGCCCCTTCCAGCCCGTCTCAGCATCCTTCTCCCTGTGCCCGGAAGCCTTCATGTGGAGGGACCATGTGGAAGGAATAGGGCTAAATATCCATAAGTATTCATTACATTGTCAAGTGTCAACAGCTTTCATTTCACTTTGAAAAATGCATCTAATTTTTCTCACATTGGCACTTTTTTTTACTCTCTACGTGATATGTTCAGTTCACAGAAAAGCTGGATTATACCTGATGAGTATTAAAAAAATCATAATTTAAATTGTCCTCCTTTCCTTTAAGAGTTCTTTGTACTCCATTGGGCGGGGGAGTGTTGGACACATACCCATAGAAGAGCCCTTACAGTGCAGTAAACCCTTTAGCGACATTTCAGCCTTGATGAAAGTCTCTGGTGATATATTCATGTTCTTTGTTGTTTTTCCCACAGTTACTCAGGGCGACAACTGCATTCTGTATACTAGAACATGAATTTGTCACAAGTATACCCTACCAGGGTTTGAAGAGTGGTTTTATATATTATGTCGTCTGAGATTTAACATCTTTAAAATATCTGCCTGTTCCATTAAATAATTACGAACTACCTATAATACTTTGAACAATCAGTTTTAGTCTCCATAGATGGTGGATAGTAACATCCCCAAGATATTTTATGGGCTACATAAATAAAGAATGCCTTTATACGTGCACAATAATTTTAATCCTCTCTGGGCACTATTGGATCATTAATAAAGTCATGTGTTTTGTTTTGTTTTGTTTTTTTACAGTCTGCCATTGAGAAATTAACCCATGATTACCTAAACTTGTTTCACTTCCCACCACTAATTAAGGTAAGAAAGGTTGTTTTTTTTCTTACCGAGAATGTGCTATTTCATTGATGTATGCACCTGCCACATCCACACCTAAATTTGCCAATGTCGGGACCTGTTGTTTGAAGTGAAATTTAATCTTTATCTAACAAAAGGCTCTTTGAGTGAAGCTTAGGATGTACATAAATTGAACATGCTTGATTCCTGCAAGTTGAAATATTAACAATATATTCGTGATAAGAACAACACATGTCACCTTAGTGGCTAGGGGATATAAGTACTAACACTGTAGCTTAGTACAGTGGCCTCCCACCTGTCTCTGGAGACCTTTGTCCCACACATAAGTCACTAAAGGAATTCACACCCTAGGGCTCTGGATTATCTATCACTAGCACTAGGGCGAGGAGGTGGGAGGTTTATTGTTTGAATGATATGTTAGTATATTTGACATATTATTTTGAATATAGTCCAAAGGTATATGGCATATTTTCTTATACAATTAGTAGATATTTGCAATTAATACACAGAACTCTTCTTGCTCACTAACTATGGTTTTCCATCTCTAAGCTCCTGAAGGTTCATTCTGTTCCTCTTCTTGGCCCTTCATCCTCATCTGCTCTAGCAAGCACACAGCTCCTCTCTGGGAATAGCTTGCAAATATCTCGAGTGTTATGAAACTCTCAGAGTGAAGTCTCCTAGTGCATCTCTAGGTGTTAAGTGCATTTCTAGGGTAAAACTGCACAATGCAAGATGCATTGTGAAACCCTGTAAGACGGTGACATTCACTTTGTAGCTCGTGAGATAAATCATGTGGAAATGTTCTCAAAGGCTTAAGGTGTCATTTCTCTTGCTTTAAGTAACTGTAATTTGGAGCTTAATCCAAAATAATCGAACATGAATCAGTAGGTTAGAATGGAAACATTAGTGCTGAGAAATCATCTCTTTTACATGAGAAGTAAAAATAAAAACACAACGTACCATCAAGAATAAATGGTGCTTGGTTTTTCTGTTTTAGGACTCAGTAGATGAACCTAAAGAAAATGAGGAAAAAATTGTGAACCTTGAACTTGTTTTTGGTTTTCACTTGAAATCAGGAACTGGCCCACAGGTAAATCACATTTTAAATCCTTTGGGTAAACTTCAATCTAATTTACTCTTTTTCTCTCTTGGAACTCTGTGGTTTCACACCTCCTTCCTGCCCCCATCCAGCCGATAACTGAATTCTGAGTAAATTTATGGGCTTTATAAAACAATTCAGCTGAAAAGCTGCCAGTCACGTATGTAATCCAGTCTTGGAATCTTACTCTTGTTTAGCTCAAGAGTCCCGTGTGAGGCCACCCAAACCATCAAGGAAACTCACAACAAAGCTTGGGGTGGAGGTGGGGGTGGGTCGGGGCATATCTGAGTGATTGTTCATGCTGCTGGGCTTTGAGCATCCCATCTTCGTATTTTTGTTTTAGAATACTGAGAGTAAAACGACACCGAGAGTAGAACTATAGGCAATATGGAAACCCAAATTACCAGCTCGAAATAGGACAGCAGGGCATTTGACCAGCACTCATTCAGTCAGGCTTTCACTTTATGTTAATTTTAGAGTATGGCACAGTTATTTGACCCAGATGGCAGATGAACTGGAATCACAACAGGTCTGTGTTGCTTTGGATTCCTGTAAATAGGTAGTCATGACGATAACTCCTACTCATCAACCACTTACTGCGTTCCAGACACAGGAGAACAGTACTGAGATGTTGATGCTACTTCCCCACCATGTTACAAACGAGGGACCTCAGGCTCCGTAGGGTCCATGACTTACCTCAGGGTGACCAGGCTAGCAAGCAGCGGAATGAGGATTTGAACGCAGGCCTCGGGGACCCCAGAACCAAGCTCTTACCTTCTGCACCATCTGTACCTCTCTTCTGAGGCAGACAAGAGACCTGGTGCATACAACTCCTTACAAGCCCTAGCCAGCCGCTCCGGCAGGCCCACGGGCCCGCCGCCCATCACACCGCGCTTATCCCAGGCCGCTCCTGAAACCCGCGCTTGGGAATGACTGGGAATGGTTGGGAGGGGCTGAGTGTCGCCCAGGGCTTCCAAAGATACACTTTCTAGACACCTGACCGAGCGTCCTGCCTGCGCCCGCAGGTCTGCTGCTGCTTCTGCTGAATGGAAACCCTTCGCCTCCCTAGTTCGCCCCATAGAAGCTGGTTGAGCGAAAGCTGCTGTGACTCCAGGTTTCTTGTATACGGACACTTTCCTGTCTTTTCTCGAGGGGGTCATTGTCTATTTGCTCCTGTTGTTAGAAGCAGCTACAGAAAGCAGGCCGGGAGAGGCAGATCCTCTCTCTCCAACAACAACCAGGCGCCCTTCTCACCCTGAGATTCTGTAGCTCTGGGCACTCCCAAGTCCATGTGATGGCAAACAAATTATATATTTTAACCTGCTTTCTTTGATATCCTCAACTCCAAGGCACTTAATACTCGCTGTTTAAACCATTTTATGGCTTATAGGTAGTAAAAGAAGAGGGAAGAATTCTCTTGAGAGAGACTTGTCAAAAGCAGTCTCAACCAAGAAAATCATTTTCAGTTAACAAGGAAATGACTTGTTAATGTGGAAAACTAAAAAATCCATCTTTTTGTAAAAACTTGGATGGTATAAATGATCTTTGAGACCAACAGTGGTCTGTTTTTGGCCACAGTTGTGTAGACTTCTTGAGCCAGAGGTTTTTACAAGGCCTAATGTCACTGCAATTTTTGTCAGTCTGCTGGTACTTGATCATGCCTACAGAGTAATAATTTCAACCATGCATTCAGCAGACATTTACTGAGGACCTGGCTCTATGCAAGATGGCCAGAATAAAAAATCAAAAAGCATAGTCTCTGACTTGCAAGAAGAATTGGAAGAAATCGGATTGGAAGAAACAGACAAGATCAATGAATGGTTGTAGTACAGAATGATGCATTTTTTTTTTTTTTTTTTTTTTTTACAACATCAAGCACATCATTCAGTGCAAGCACACTGGATGTGCATTGAAAGCAGATGCAGAGAGGGGTCAGAGAGGATCTTAAGGTCTTTTTGGTAGAAGTGAGGCTTCAACTAAAATTTTAAAACCATTCGGAATTATTCGGTAGGGAGAAGACAAGGAAGGCAAAAGGAATAGCATATGCAAAAGCTCAGAAACCCAAAGCCACGAACACACAGGGAGCTCTTCTTTGGGCTAGTTCCTATGGGACCTCACAACTCACCTTGAGCGGCACTGCCTCTGGGACTTGGCATGAAGCCAGTGGACTAGTGCGGTGAGAGTTAAGGCCAGAACAGTGGCTGGCAACCAGTAAGAGAGCTATCTTCAGTGCTAAACCAAGGAGTTTAAAGAGTTTTAAGCAGGGAGTAGATGGGATCAGATTTTAAGAGATAGCTCTCAGCAGCACAGGGGAGGATGAACTGGAAAGGACCAGGCTAACATGAGAAAGATTGGGAGCGGGAAATGCAGACAACCTGGTTAAAGGGGCCGAGGAGAGGAGGTGATGGCAATGCCATGGAAGTGCCACGAGTCCAAGGACTGCGAGACAGAACTGATCAGCCTGGGTCACCCGCTGGAAATGGGGGGAGTGGGGTGGGAGGGAGGAGCCAGGACGGTACCGAGGTTTCCAGTGTGGGCAGCTGGACAGACGATATTATAATGTAATAGATCAAGAGTGAAATGTACAAAGTGGATGTGATGCCCTGGTGCTAAAAGTATAAAGAAGTGACTGGAATGGATGAGGTCAACCAGGAAAAGCTTTTTTGGAAGGGGTGAGTTTTGAAACGAGACTTGAAGAGGTTCAGGGTCATTTGCAAATAATTTCCTGAATATAGTATTTAAAGCTGATGCTTAGAGAGTACTTCTTTCTAAAGAGCTCAGGTTATTTCATAAATGTCATCTCATTTATCCCCCTGGCATTTCTGTGAGATGCGTAAGGTACAGTGTTGCCATCACTGATGAGGAAACAGCAAGAGGAAATGTGTGAGCAGCCTTAGGTGAGGCGAGGACAGAGCTCAGACCAGAAATTACATCGTTATCATTACCTTCTTCTTAAACATGTGTTAGCTCTCATACCTGACCCAAGATATTTAAGCCATCTGTAAATTTTCATAAAATAATCCTAGAATAAATTACTGTCCAGTTCTAAACTACCCAGTCATGCTAGCCTATATGTGTACCCCAGCATCATGAAACATTTTCCCAAAAATGTGCTTTGAATTGAAATTCCAAGTCCTCACATGAAAACCTTTTTACCTTGACCTTTAAAGGTGGAACCCAAGAAAAAAAAAGACATCCTCAAAATCCCAACTAACTGAGTTCTCATAAACCCATCTTCACAGAAAAGGTGAAGCCTTTCCGTGACTCGAATAGTTACAAGAGGACACTGGCGCTTTGCAAGCTCTCTCCAAACCTGGGCCTGCATAGCAGGGAGATCTGCTTGACCATTTCGCCTTTTCTTTTACAAATGAAAAATGCGTTCTAATTACAGCCACTGGGAATAATATAGGACAGTGACTTTATCATGAAAATGGAAGCTACATTTTCCCATTGCATCTGAGAAGGCCTACCAGCTCAACGACCACTTAAAATTGGTATGTTGTTTTAGTAACTGGCCTACTAGGAGGAGAGAAAGAAAATACGACCTTGGACACAAATATACAAATACGTGTAGAGGAAAAAGCCTTTCGTTGTAAGACCTGTCAGCCTTTTGTTCTAAGAATTCAGATACAATTCTTTTTTTTTTTTAGCCTCATTTTACAACCAGATGGATTCTGGCACAAAAGTGAGGTTGATTTGCTCAACTGAGGACAGCCATTCACATCTGAGTGCCTGTATGCCAGCTAGAGTGGCTCAGTGCCACTTCGAGACGCCTTGCTGTGATCCGTCTTCCTGCCACACCCTCTGGAGAGCAGGACCTCAGCAGGCTAAAGCCCCATACATACTTGGAGAATTCTCACACAAATGAAGTAGGCTTTTTTTCTCTCCTTTGTAGGACAGACTAGCAGGGAAAATACGACTGGACCAAACATTTCATTGGCAATTTAAATTGACAATAAGTGAGAATGGTTTTACTCATGTATTTGACCTATTTCTAAAGAATAAATTATTAATTTAAATAATGCTATATGTTGAGGCAACTTCAAGTTGTGCCAGTGGAATTGGCAGAAATGGGGTCTTTCTCAGCTCAAAATTTTCCCATGCTCAGGCTTGAAATGCTTGATGATGATTATTATTTCATACCTCTGCCAGATAGTGTGGTAAGTGCTTTACAAACATTTTTCTCGTTTAATTGTTACAAGTCACCGTCCCAGGGAGCGTCATCCCTGTATCACTGTCCAGGAGGAACTGAGGAAGGGAGAGGTAAAATTCCTTACCCAGAGGCCCCACCAATTTAGGGGCAGATCCAGTCTAAGGACTCAACCACTGTGTCATACTCCCCCAAAATAGGCATATTGGTAATAAAAAGATAATTTGGGGGGATCACTTAATACTAAATCACCACTTTTTTTGTGTGTGTGGGAACTGCCTTGTGTTTTGTCATCTAAGGCCTTCTTCGACTTGGCACAGAAGGCAAAAGGCTTCCAGAATCTCAGCTCCATGCTCCGCCCCCTCCAGGGTGGCAACCACCCTTTTTTACTGACATATTCAGCTCCATAGAGTTTATTATTATATCTCATATAAATTCGCCAGTCAAGAATATTGATTCTGGGGGTGCCTGGGTGGCTCAGTTGGTTAAGCGTCTGCCTTCGGCTCAGGTCATGATCCCAGAGTCCTGGGATGGAGTCCCGCATCGGGCTCCCTGCTCAGTGGGGAGCCTGCTTCTCCCTCCCTCTCTGCCTGCCACTCGCCCTGCTTGTGCTCTCTCTCTCTCTGACACATAAAATCTTAAAAAAAAAAAAAAAAAAGAATATTGATTCTCAAATTGTCAAGGAATAAACTATCAAATCACCCAGCAGTTTTCTCACCAAGAAACTTTCTGAGACTGTCTTAAAAATTCAAAAACAGGGTTACGAAGGAACTATCTGGGGAGTCGTGCATTCCTTGTGCGTGCTGGACAGTCACCGACTTTGCCCCTCGAGTCCTACTTC